CTTCCTTTATTTTAGGTAAAAAGGGATCCAACATTTTCTGGATGAAATGTAACGGAAAGAGAACCTATCAATTTGACTATTCATTCCACCATGCAGGGGAATGCAGTGATTGGACAACAGACTTTACACAGAGTTTGGAGATTTTGGGGGGGGGATTTTCTATTACTTGCTCTGGTTCTTTAAAATGTGATAATGTTTCAGAAAATAGTTTTTCTTAATCACACAGAGTTTGAATTAATGGCGAAGTTTTTCACGAGAAATAAAGGAAAAACCTTTCCGAGCACAGCTAAAATCCATAACAAACTGATTTCATCCTAATGAAAATTCTCATGTCTGCTGGTACTAGTAATCCTTCTAAGAAAACAGAGACATTTCTGTCCTGCTAATTTAATTGTTTTTCTTCTTCCCCCTCTTTTCCCTCACTCTGTCGAGCACCTGTTTAAAGGAGCTGTCCTTTCGACTTTGTTATTTTTCATTTACTTGTGCCCCCAGGTTTTTCAATCATACATCCATTACTAAGCAAACAAATAAGTTCTGGGCCTATGCAGCAGACACAAATATAGATGAGTTATGAGATTTAAAGCAGGAGAAGCCAGCTTTGGACTGTAATACACAACATCTGCAGCGGACAGCAGTCACACAACCCAGAGCATCCCGCAAACTCCACTGGCCTGTCATCCCCCAACCCAGTCATGCCTGTGTGTTATAAGTGTTATATTTGGCGAGAAGAGAGGAGAGGAAGAATTAACTGATCATTATTAACTGTTCATACGCTGATCTTATGATTTATGGAGCCCAATAGTGGCACCGGGTTTAATTGTCACGCTGGATTTCCAGATGCATCCATCTTGTGGTTTTGGCAGCTTGTTGTACCTTGAGTTCAGATATTTTAGCATCGGGGCCCTGACATGGGCTGGGTCCCAAATGGCACCCAATTCCCTATATAGTGCACTACTTTTGACCAGAGCCCATGCCGCCAGTTCCCTCCGAACAAAGCTGCCCTCTCTCAGTACAGTACACCTCTTGAACGCTCCAGTCCTCTCCTCCCCGACTCTCCTCCTCTTCCCTCCTCTCCTCCTCAGCTCCCCCCGAACCATCTGCACATCTGTTTTTCATTCCCCGGCATCTCAGAAGACTTGAACACATTAAACACTGGCACAAGCGCAGTCTCACCCCAGCACTTAAAACAGCGCTTAGGTGACTTTAAAGGCAGAGGCGAGAATTATAGAAAATGAAGTGTCACCGAAAAAAGAAATCGCCTGAGATTACCACCAATTACACTTAATCATGCACCGCACCAGAACATCTGCTGATCAGATGCAGCAGTACTACTGTCATATAGACATAAGAGAGAGAGAGAGAGAGAGAGAGAGAGGGAGAGAGAAGAGATGAGAGATGAGAGAATCGAGAGAGAGATCGAGAGAGAGATATCTCAGAATAGCAGAGATCTAGCTCTCTTCTTCGCTCTATCTATAGCTCTAAATAGCCTCTCTCCATCCCTCCCCCAGCTACCTCTCCTTCATACAAGTAGAGAGAATCGAAATACAGAGCGATAAGAAAGACATAGAGATAAGAGATTAAGAGAGAGAGAGAGAGAGATCGAGAGACATAGAGAGAGAGACATAGAGAGAGAAGAGAAGATAGAGAACACAGAGAGAGAGAGAGATAAGAGAGAGATAGAGAGAGAGAGAGACCATAGAGAGAGAGAGCAAGATAATAGAGCTCAGAGCTATGAGAGAGAGAGAGAACTCCCTCTCTCTCTGATACATACATGAGAGGAGAAGGATAGAGACATAGAGAGAGAGTGTGATAGAAGGAGACAGAGAAAGACAATCAGTTTCTGGAGACTGGAAGTGAAATGAGATAGATCCATTATTTGAGTAATACTGGGGTTAGAATGATAACATGTGATGTGATAAGATGATGTGATGGAATGTCTGGTCATTCTGAGTGTAGAATGCATTGAGGAATACAATACAGACATGCAAATCTGGAGATAATATTGTTTGTGTGGGGTTAGCTATGTGCTTTAGGGTTGGAGACGTGGGATGTTCTGTTTTAATAGTCATTTATTAGTCATTCAGATAGCGAGGGAGTTAGCCAAAGCACAACGCTGATTTATCTCAACATCACTCTCTGATGATTTGCCCCTTTGGCAACATGAGTACAGTCATACTGTACACAATGTGTGTCTAAAATGGCACCCCATTCCCTTTAGTGCACTACTTTTGACCAGGGCCCATATTGCTCTGGTCCAAAGTAGTGCACTATATACTATTCTTCTTCTAAACCATATAAACGTCAACAGGTCAGAAGAGAGAGCACGACATTTGTTCTGGTTAATTGTATTTGTTACCTGTCTTGTCTCTTTATCTCTAGTTGCAGAACTGGATTCATTCATCCATGGAAATAGTTTGTAAGGGCTTTCCATTTGTGGTTTCGATGCATCTGATTTTTAATGGCTTTGCTTTGTGTTCTTGAGGCGGTTTGAAGCGGAGGAAGCATGACAAATGGATGACATAAGAACACTGAATCAAAGTGGGTGATTGGAACCTCATTTCTCTCCTTGACTCAAGCCAAAAAAATAATCGCATATGTCCCTCAATAGAAGTTCTCCAGTAACCACATATATCCCTTTATAATAACCCCATGTCTGCATCTATAGTTTATGTGTTCATTCATGTGTAATAGAGACATATTCTTCTCATCTGATCTCACTATCTCCCCCCGTGGGGATTAGTGAGCTCCTCCATTTCTAATCAACCTGCAATGATAGCAATAGATCCATACCCATGATATCAAACAGGGTATTTTCCTGTGGTCCTGTTCCAAAAGTTGTTTTTCTGGGAGGGGTGTAAGAACAAGAAGAGGGGGGATAACAATAGGGGCCTTCTTCTGGGCTTCATCTCAGCTCTCTCTGGTTGTGGATGCTGACATCAGTGGGTGTTTGTGAGGATGGGCCAAAAGCACATCTGTACATGGTCTTGATAGAGCAGAATGGTTGCCCCCGGTGATTCTGGCAGCGGCCTGTAACAGGACTCTCCCTGATCTCATGCCCTGAGATTGTCACCTCTAATTGTCTCTGAACGCTTGCAAGTGTGCATATCATTATCAGAGCAACCAATGACCCGCCTCCTTTTCTTCAAACTATTTAGCTAACAAAATGCATGACTTAAATAATGGAGTTCATTTCAGCTCACACTGGAGAGAATTGAAAAAAAGGAGGCTAAATTGGTTCCTTAGAGACCACCCATGACCACTCTTACAGGACCCAATCGCAACATGACCAGTCAGCACTGACCTGACCCCTGCATGTTCCCATCACTGTGTCAGCGCAACAATGGACCTCTCTCTCACCCTCCCTCCATCCCGCCATCTCTCTCTCTATCTCTGTCACCGGCTCTGTGTGTCTTCCATTTCACCTCGGTCCCAGGTGCTTTCACTAGCTTCCACCTCCTGATCAAGCCAGCCCTAACACACAATGAAATACTCACAATGCTGAATTACCATGGCATATTCAATATAAACTGAATTTACTGTTGGTATCCTTCCAAGCCACCATATGTTGAGAAGCCTGCTTCTCCTCCTAGCCTGAGCATGACTGATTCTGTTAATGTAGCAAACCTTTCAGCCAAGCGTTCAGTCTGTATGCTTTATGGAATATAGAACTTCTATAGGATAGGACTTTAGGACAGACACAGTGACTGGAGTGGAGGCACCCTGGTTTATTGTAAAAGAGTGACTGTTCTAATTTAGATCTAAAGACAGACTAGTTATATGGTGTAGTCTAGGGTGTGACCAGATCTGGAAAAACTCCTTGTCCTACCAATTGCCTATAACTAGGGCCAGTTTTTCCTGATGATATACCCTAGCCACCTCCTACCTCCTCAACCTGGTCTCAGAGCATTTCATATTATTATTTACGTAAATCAAGAACACTCTTTTTATATAGTATGATATGTTATGTTTCATATGGTATTTATTAATTTGTGGATTCCATCACCCATTTCGTATGATATGTTACGAATAACAATTCGTTTTATATGTAACGAAATTTCTAAACGTACAATATGTTACGAATTTTCTAAACTTAAAACGTATGATATGTTACGAATTCTATCTAGGTGGCTAGGTGGCTAATGTTAGCTAGCTGGCTAACATTAGCTAGGATAGGGGTTAGGGTTAGGGGTTAGTGTTAAGTATAGGAGAGAGATAAGGTTAGGGTTAGGGGAAGGGTTAAGGTTAGGGTAAGTAGTAAGTAGTTGAAAAGTTGCTAACCTTTGGGTTGCTAGACATTCGTGTTATACACCCACGCGTGATGAGATTCGAACTCACAACCTTTGGGTTGCTAGACGTTCACATTATACACCCACCGATCCACCCCGACCAACCACCCTACTTTTGTTTTTTTGCCTTAAGTAACCATCTGTCTTATGTAACCATACCAAACGTAACATACAATACAGTGCCTTGCAAAAGTATTCATCCCCCTTGGCGTTTTTCCTATTTTGTTGCATTACAACCTGTAATTTAAATTGATTTTTATTTGGATTTCATGTAATGGACATACACAAAATAGTCCAAATTGGTTAAGTGAAATGAAAAAAATAACTTGTTTCAAAGAATTCAAAAAAATAAATAACGGAAAAGTGGTGCATGCATATTTATTCACCCCCTTTGCTATGAAGCTCCTAAATAAGATCTGGTGCAACCAATTACCTTCAGAAGTCACATAATTAGTTAAATAAAGTCCACCTGTGTGCAATCTAAGTGTCACATGATCTGTCACATGATCTCAGTATATATACACCTGTTCTGAAAGGCCCCAGAGTCTGCAACACCACTAAGCAAGGGGCACCACCAAGCAAGTGGCACCCGTAGAGACCAAGGAGCTCTCCAAACAGGTCAGGGACAAAGTTGTGGAGAAGTACAGATCAGGGTTGGGTTATAAAAAAAGATCAGAAACTTTGAACGTCCCACGGAGCACCATTAAATCCATTATTAAAAGATGGAAAGAATATGGCACCACAACAAACCTGCCAAGAGAGGGCCGCCCACCAAAACCCACGGACCAGGCAAGGAGGGCATTAATCAGAGAGGCAACAAAGAGACCAAAGATTACCCTGAAGGAGCTGCAAAGCTCCACAGCGGAGATTGGAGTATCTGTCCATAGGACCACTTTAAAGCCGTACACTCCACAGAGCTGGGCTTTACAGAAGAGTGGCCAGAAAAAAGCCATTGCTTAAAGAAAAAAATAAGCAAACATGTTTGGTGTTCGCCAAAAGATATGTGGGAGACTCCCCAAACATATGGAAGAAGGTACTCTGGTCAGATGAGACTAAAATTGAGCTTTTTGGCCATCAAGGAAAACGCTATGTCTGGCGCAAACCCAACACCTCTCATCACCCCGGGAACACCATCCCCACAGTGAAGCATGGTGGTGGCAGCATCATGCTGTGGGGATGTTTTTAATTCGGCAGGGACTGGGAAACTGGTCAGAATTGAAGGAATGATCGATGACGCTAAATACAGGGACATTCTTGAGGGAAACCTGTTTCAGTCTTCCATAGATTTGAGACTGGGACGGAGGTTCACCTTCCAGCAGGACAATGACCCTAAGCATACTGCTAAAGCAACACTTGAGTGGTTTAAGGGGAAACATTGAAATGTCTTGGAATGGCCTTATTTGTCGTTTGTTTCAGAAGAAAAAATATTTTGTATCTTCAAAGTGGTAGGCATGTTGTGTAAATCAAATGATACAAACCCCCCAAAAATCCATTTTAATTCCAGGTTGTAAGGGCAACAAAATAGGAAAAATTCCAAGGGGGGTGAATATTTTCGCAAGCCACTGTATCATACTAATTTGAGTGTCCCGGATTTACATTTACTATGTTACGTCTAGTCTATGAGACTAGGCTGAGCTCGTAGCCCCAAACTATCACCTCCAGTGTGTCTTCTCCTTTCCCCAATGTCCTCTCCTCCTGCTCCAACATCTCCTTCATACTTGTACCTCAATATTTCCTGATCCGGAGCCATGTTCCTCCTCTCATCCTCTCCTTCGTAGAGATTAGTATCTCTTAGAGTGCCAGGTCAATGGTCAGTGCTCAGAGAGGCAACTCCAAAGATTGCCAAACACACCGTAGCGAAGCTTGAAACAATTGTTTGTATTTTAATCTCTATAAATATAACAAATCATAGGTAATCACTCCGCTGGGCTATTTGCGGTGTTCGTGCAGCTTTGCCCTGATTTACATAAAGTACTTTCTACTGGCAAACAGCAACTGTTTCCAAACAGGGAAACAGTGAATGCCTCTTCTGAAGTGCATTGTCTTTTATTTGGCTTGAATGTGTGCCTCGGTGTTGTATCGCATTGTTCATTGTATCTGAACAGAACATAGGCTATATCTTAAAGACATACTGTACAGATAATATTATATAGTATGGTTATACCATAGGCTTCATGCTTAGAAATTTCAGACTTGATTTGCCCAAAATGAAAAATGTCTCAACCCCTACAAAAATATCCATTAATTACAATCTACATAATAATTCACATTTCCTGTTACTGCAGGATTATTTTCCTGCTGTAGCAAACTGGCTCAAATTAAGATCCTACATCTGTATTCACTCTTTGAAACAGGTGGTGTGTGTGTATGTGTGTGTGCGTGTGTCTGTGTGTGTAACTGTACATAGTGAAAGGTTACATAGAGTCAAGGCCAAAGTATACACACATTTTAATTCTCTATCCTGACTCCATGTCACCATTGGCCATCCTGATTGAATCATTCTTATTCCAGATGAGGCAAGAAATACTTGGCCGTCAATCAAAAGGCCTTGACTTTTTCATACACAAACACAGTTGGATATAATAACTGTGGAAATGCGCAGCCAAAAAGAAAAAAAAAGAAGAGACAGAACGATCCAGGACTTTATAAACAGAACCATTTGTATTCCTTGAAAACAGAACAGAGCTGAAAGAGTTCTTGCCTTCTGTTTATGGCTCTGAGTGAAACCAGCATGCCTCTCAAAGTCCCTCAGCGACACTGCAGCGTTTGCACTGACTTTCTACACCTCTACCCTCTTACTCTCTACGCATCACCTCTCCCTCTCTCTTTTCCTCTCTCCACCTCTCCCCTAGTCTCCTTCTCTCTTTCTAATGCTGATCACCTCTCCCTCTCTCTTTTCCTCTCTCCACCTCTCCCCTAGTCTCCTTCTCTCTTTCTAATGCTGATCACCTCTCCCTCTCTCTTTTCCTCGCCGCATCTCTTACCCTGCTACACCTCTTTATCGCTCTCATTCTATGCACCTCCACATCTCCCTCTCTCTATACCTTTCTCAACCTCCTCCCTCTCTATTTTTACGCATCTCCACCTTAACTTATTTTTCTATGACTCCTTCACCACTTCTCACTCCCTCTGTCCATCTGCCTCTCCCTCCCTCCTTCTCTCTCTCTGACTACATCTCATTTTTATCTTTCTCTACCTGTTACGTTATCCTTATCTTTCTTTTTTCTCTATCCCCATGCCTCTCTGTCCCCATGCCTCTCTGTCCCCATGCCTCTCTGTCCCCATGCCTCTCTGTCCCCATGACTTCCTCCCCCATCTCTTTTTCCTTTCATACTTTTATATCACTTAAGGAGTGTTTGGGTGCCTGCATTGATAATAGCTCAAGAGATGTGATAACATTGTCAATAACATCATTATGAGCAAATTGAATTTGAGAAATTGAGTTAGGGAGGTTGGAGCAGGGACATGTGGCCGCCTACACACAAATTAGTATCGGGGGTATCGTTTTTCCTTCTGCAAATATTTCGACATACACAGCCCCCCTTCGCTCACTTTCATGTGTCGAATTACAGATTTCTAGTCATATTTTTATATGTTTTATGGAAACATTTTGTTAGGCACACTAAAAGCAAAATAAAAAGCTTTTCTTGGTTATATTCATGTCATGTGGTGCTAAATATGTAGATTGTTTATGCTAGTCGTTCAGCAAACTGTCTCTTACAATTTCAATACAAAATCATTATGTAATGTGTGTAAATCCAACTCATTTCCCGTAATAGAATTAGAATTACCCAGCTGTGGGCTGACTGAGTGACAAACAGAAGAGCATTTGGAAAATTCATCAATGCAAATAATTAGCTAATGGCTCGCTCTTGTTTAGCTTTTCCCACATTACTAATAATATCAATGAGATCCACACAATAAAATGTTATTGTCTACACAGTGAAGAAGGCTGTTAAGCCGAAACATTTGTGTATGCTAACTGGATGCAGTAAAAATAATAATTAGAACAAAAAAATTAAGTATGCTTTATGCGATCTTTTTGAGTACAGACCCATCACACTTTTTTGCTTATCTGTACACAGTTCAACATGAATTGTCTAATCTTTTGGTGTCATCAGCTTTTAAAGTTCACCAAAGAGCACAAAACCACTCCATATATCAACAGATCCACAAACTCGAAGCCAGCGATTGTTCTCGAGAGATTTATCGTAATATGATACAATTTCAACATGTCACTGATGGAAGCGTCTCAGAGGAGATCTGTTGCGCTCTATGGCAGTTATTAATCTCTCTGTTCTGTCGTTAGAGTAGTGAAACAGGCTAACAGAGCCAACTTCCAGCTAGAGGTCTAGAGAGGGACTCTGAGGGGTTACAGTGTTATCATTGTCATCGTAATTTTGTATTTATTGGTGTTGTGTGTATTTGCTTGTGCAAACAAATTTCCCCTTTGGGGATGAATAAAACCCTATCTTATTTTAGGGACTCAGGGTTACAGACAGTGTTGTTGTCATTTAACTTGAGGGTTACAGACAGTGTTGTTGTCATTTTCATCCCTTCTCTTCCCCTTTTCCAGTGAACGGCAGTTGCAGCGGTGCCTACTGCCCAGAGAAGGAGAGTGGGCCAGAGCTGGGGGGCAGTGAGGGCACACTGATGTGCTGTGGACAGAGTCTGGCGGTGCTGATGCCACCAGGGAGCCAGCCAGGTCCAGTGGGTCATTACCACAGTGTCCACTGTGAGCGGCCCACACCCACACACAACCTTCATCTGCTGGACAGCCAGCAGCAGCACGCTGAAGCCAGGTAAGAACAACACTGACAGGTTCTGACAAGAATACCAGCAATATAGGGGACAATACAGGACTTAAACAGTATAGCTGTCTGTTGATTGTTTCTGTTGATCAGATTATTTGTGTTTGTTAAACACCTGAAATGATGTTAGCAGTACATGTTATACTGTTGTATTAACACTAATAATATTATCATACTGATAAAATGAATAGTAATCATTCTACGCAGGTAATGACGGTGATAATAGTCCCTGTATAAATGTGAACTTTATCTGTCAAATGTAATTACCTATAGCATGTAATGACATTTCTCATAGAGGAGGCAGGTATGATACTTAACTATCTATTGACTGGTCCAATAAATATTCCTATCACCCTCTCTGGCCTCTATACACTCCAAAGTGCTTCTGGACAGACATTCAATTCTCCCATATTGTCTCTGAATGCCATCGCTACAGCCAAACAGGAAATATCGCTCATGAAAGAAAGGGGGGACTCTCTCTCTTACACACTCTTTATTGACTACGAAAAAGTCAGGCTCTGGCTCTATCTAGCCAGGCAGCTAGCGTTAGCACTTTTCCCTAGTGTGCGTCGAGAGAACGGTAGAAAGAGCGATGAGAGAGAGAGAGAGAGAGAGAGAGAGAGAGAGGAGAGAGAGAGAGAGAGAGAGAGAGAGAGAGAGAGAGAGAGAGAGAGAGAGAGAGAGAGAGAGAGAGAGAGAGAGAGAGAGAGAGAGAGAGGACAAAGACAATTCCTTCATGGAGACAGGAGAGAAAGAAAGAGGGGCCTTCTCACATCACTCAAGAGCTTTGCACAAAATCCATAATGAGCGAACTGACAGGAATTATTATGTAGGACATCACAGCAACGCATGGAGAAATACGACCTGGCTCCCCATTCACCGGGGGCAAGATTCCCACCATAATACACAGTATTGTAAACGCTGACCCTTCACAGGCCGCCATTATCCAACAAACCAGCTGACTCCTATTTATCCCAACATGTAGGCTTAGGTTTAACCCCTTTGTGTCATCAAAGCCTGTCAGACTAGTGACACACAAGAAGCCCCATCCATCGCCTCTCCTTCTATCCTCTCTATCTGCCCCCTCTCCTATTCTTAGCCATAAATGCCCATTCATAACTGCTCACAGGGCTCAAGGTCCCCTTTCATTTATTCATGAAATCACTCCCGGATCATCTGCTGCTGGTGGATGCTGCCCTGTTTTGAAAGGGACACCACAAGTCACTCTAACTAACCTTCCATTTCTCTCTGAAAGTTCTCTGTCTGTGTGAAGTGGTTGTTAGACCCTCTGACTAAGACTTTTAGTTCTATGGGGGCTCTCTGGGATGAGATGTTGTTTTTGTAGAGAGAGAAAGAGAGAGAGAGCAAGAGAGAGCAGAGCGAGAGAGCAGAAAGACAGAGAGAGAGAAAGAGAGAGAGAGAGAAAGAGAGAGAGAGAGAAGAGAGCCCACTCTAGGCCAGGTCTGCAGCTCACAGCCTTGCTGTTGTGCGAGGACTGAAAGCTGCAGCATGTGGGAAGGATGACTTGGCAGGACCCAGACAGCCTTGGCCTTTATCTATCAACAGCGGGCGGCTAATAGTGCTCATATTCTCCCCTGTGTTGTCCTAATAGCCTCGCTCTGCTCAGATTCCCTGCCGTGTGTTTTTCCCCTCTACAGGTCCTCTGCCTTCCAGAGATCACTGGCCTCTCCCGACCCAGGCTGCGGCAGCTCCAATGGGGCCAGGGCACTTCCTCTCCCCTATCCCATCAAACAGGAGGCCTCCATGGGCTACAACATCTCCCAGGGACCAGGGGTCCCCACCACAATCCACGGTGCTTTCCAGAGCAGCAGGGGAAGCATGGGGGTCCGGCGGGGGGAGATGGAGGGTCCTCTCGGTGGATGCGGCGGTGGCAGTGGCTTAGGCAGCGCTCTATCGGCAGACTCGGCGTACCCGTTTAATAATGAAGATGGCTCCTCCCCGCTGTCTTTGTCCCCTGGCGGCTCCCGTCATTCAGCGCGGCTGCTCACCACTAGCAGCCTGAAAAGACGCTGCCTGTCCCTGGCTTCCCAGTCCGCCACTGCCAGCAGTAACGCTAGCGCCGTCGCAAACGCCGTCGTCACCACCACAGAGGGGATCGATATCACCGCCATTATCTGCTCCTCCCAGATGTCCGTGGTGGCCTGCGTCAACGGGCTCCGGACAAACCCCTCACCCCAGCCCAGCGGCGGCTTCTCCTCCCGGGCTGCCCCCCGCAAGCCCCCGCCCCCCCAGCAGTGCAGAAGCCCCCAGCAGAACCTCTCGCAGGAGAGTTGTCAGCTGCCCTCGCCTGCCGCCTGCCTGCTGTCCCTCTCCTCGGGCTCCTCCTCATCCTCCTCCTCCTCCGTGTCGTCTCTGGAGCCGGAGCAGCAGAACCAGGGCCAGGGGCTGTGTGAGGAGCCCGGCTCCATGCAGCCGGGGCCAGGGGGTGGAGGTGGAGGAGGAGCAGGCTCTGAGGGGCTGGGGCTGCTGATGAGTGGGGCCCTGATGACGGGAGGCCTGCTTGGGAACGTGTCTATGCTGGAGGGCTGTCAGAGGGCCGGTGGAGGAGCTCTGAAACAGGAGCCTCTAGATGACTTCTCTCCCAGTGAGGAGGAGCTCTTTCAGCACCACTACCACCATCACCACCATTATAACCACCTGACTGGCCGCACTGCTGCCAGCCACCTCCGCCCTCATCCCCACCACCCTGCCCCCCCACGGTCCTCCATGCCCCCACCCTACCACCTGCACCAGTACGGGGGCCCAAGCCCAGGGGGCTTGCTACACCTCCAGAACCAGTCCACCACATCTTCATCCTCTCTCCTCTTGGGCCTCAAGACATTGAGCCCCGTCGGGGGAGAGGACGGTGGGCTGCTCAGCGACAAGCAGGTTTGCCGCTGGATTGACTGCAGTGTGGCGTACGAGCAGCAGGAGGAGCTGGTGAGGCACATCGAGAAGGTGCACATCGACCAGCGCAAAGGGGAGGAGTTCACCTGCTTCTGGGCCGGCTGCATCCGCCGCTACAAGCCCTTCAATGCCCGCTACAAGCTCCTCATCCACATGAGGGTCCACTCGGGAGAGAAGCCCAACAAGTGTATGGTGAGTCCCTCTCCCCACCATAGAAATATAATTCATAGAAGGGAAATCCCCATTCAAGTAAATTTGATGGGTGTGCCGGCGGCCATGTTGAATGTACCCATGCCATTCTAGTAATTCCCCACCCTGAGTACAGAACCAAGCCATTACGGTTGGTGTCAGCAGTCAATGTTGTTCACAGCCCACTTTTCTGAATGGAACCAATGGAAGGCTTTTTTATGGTCCGTTATAATGTAGGTTCCATTTCTGTGACCACAGTATATTTACTGTGTGAAATTGACACTTCCCAGCTTGTGCAACCAGTATGATTGTGTCCCTCCATAGGACTTTTTCTAGTTTCCACAGAGCAGGCCAAGAGAGCTTTTATTTAAACATACATTTTGGAGCTGCTGTGTACATGTATAAAACATGAACAGGTGGAGCTTTTTCTGGATTGCATTGATGATAGAGTAGTTCCTAATATAGTTCTTATTTGGTATTTCGTTGAAATTGGTTCGTGTCCAACCAAAAATGTGCAGCAGTTGTTGGGTGAGTAGGGTTAGGGTTAGTGTGGTAGAAGTAAACACATTTTTAAAATATCCTCAGAGACTGTTGTTCGATTGTGATTCAAGGAAACATCTACATCAACAGGATGCATTGTTTCTAAAAGCAAGACTGATCATTTTTTCATTGCTAATTCTTTTTCATTATAAAATCAGAATAGTTTTTATTGAAAATGGATATATTTGTAGTCATAGTATTTTTTGCAGAATGTTTCAAGCACACATTTTCCATTGAAGAAAAGCGTTATAATTGCAGCCGAATAGCTTGTCGCTGTATAAATAGCTTTGTGGTTGTATTCTTTACAGGTAAAACTCTCCACTTCCACAAGTCAACACACTAATCAACATCAAACTGTCACTCCCCAGCATCCCTTAGCAAATGGAAAAAGCCCTCCAACCTTAAGAATGATTTAGTCCAAATACACAATTAGTCCACAATTTGTGTATGGCGATGTCATGTTTAAGAAGGGTTTCAGATCATGAAAAACCAAGACATCTGGTTAACATAACCAAACAATGCATACACTTGATCCCTTTAAATGGAAGGTTTAAATGTTTAGCTGTCCCACAAGTTTTAAGTGAATTGGCTTTTTTATCCAAACCAAACACAGGGAAATATGTAGTAGCCTAGTGGAAGAAGTGGCTACGAAGCAGAGGGATGGATGGTAAAATCTCTCGTCTTGCTCAATTCAGAGTTTCACCCAACCCCTGTCAGAAATGTTCTTCCTCATTCTAGGAAAACCGTCCAAAATATAATTATTATTGTGCAATATGATCGAAGCCTAACACCACAAAAAGACCTGTTTTATCTCTATTTATTTGTTATGAAATCCAGGCGATATATACAAAAATAAAATAATATTTTGTATAATTTACTGGCTGCTCATTATTGTGGAAGTGTGAAAATTGGCAAGTGTTAAAATTAAGTGTTAAATTAAATGCAGTTAGTGTTTAAGTGTTAAATTAACACTTAACACTGCTTTACATTGTTAGCTACATTTTATGGGAATTTTTACGTGAATGAGTAGTGTAGTATTTGAATTGATAGTGAGCCCTGTAAGTTACAATAAATTCCTCAGAGCCATCATGCGTTAGTGTATGTGCATGTTGTAGCTGAAAATGTGCTCAGGTTGTGAATCTTCTCTCAACTCTGTACTGTATAGTACCACATGGATTTTTGAAGCGAATTCTGGGAATTCTACGGAGTTCTGGGAATAATTCCCTGTGTTTTGGTCCAGCTGTTGGTTTTGTTTTTTCAGAGAGTGTTGCGTATACATTAAACACTTACATTTTTCTTCTCTTGTGACTGTTCATTCCAGTATACCCTGGGTGTGTCTCAAACTCTGTCACTGTTGTCAGTTTGGTGACACGTAGGACAGGAAGGGAAATAGGCGGAGTGTATGTATGTGTATGTACTGTATAAATGTATGTATAAATGTATGTGTGTGTTTGTGTGGGGAGATGCTTACCAGATGCTAACACTAGAACAATTCGCCTCAGTGTAATGGAGCCGCTGGACTCTGTCTCGGGACGGGAGGCAGTGTGTGTGTGTGTGTGTGTGTGTGTGTGTGTGTGTGTGTGTGTGTGTGTGTGTGTGTGTCTGCGGGCCCAGGCCACACATCCCAGCCTCCTAATCACTCAGACCTCAGCAAGGCCTCAAACACACACATGCACACACACATACGCACGCACACACACACACGCTCACACACACACGCACACACACACATACGCACGCACACACACACTTACGTTAATTTCTGTTAACCCCTATAATAGAAGGTATTGATTCTATCCATGTTGGATTGTAACACTCAGTTCTCAAACTGAACAAAAACAGAAATTTGAAATGTATTCAGACTTGCATAAACACTTCTAATGAGTATGTATTTAGATTCATAGTTCTACAGAAAGCCTTAGATAAAGTGGACGAAAGTGTGCACGTGTTTTGCATGTGTCTGAGGCAATGAGTTTGTGTTTGCAGATGGTTGAGAGTGTGTGGCCATACATGTGCAATACTATGGAGATAGATCCCTGCCATAATTTGTCACAAATGTGGGCTATGATTTGTAGTGTGTGTGCATTTATACGTACAGTATGTGTGTGTATATGTTGTTGTATCTTATTTAGTATCTTTATTTAGCCCTTATGCGTCTGTGACCACTGCAGTCAGAAAGCGTTTGAATGATGCCTGTTGTGTTTGCTGCACTCATGCAATAGACAAAGGCATTTAGGAATTCCAGCTATTCGCACAGAGGAAACAGATGAGACATTTTGATTTAGGACCAAATGCTCCAGAACCCCCCCCCCCCCCCCCTCCCCCCAGCTAATTCCTTTATTATCTTTCCAGCGGCAGATTCCAGTGGGCGCTCATGAATTGGAGCTGCGCTCACATCCAAGCATAACACTCCCCTCTCCTCCAGCCTCCTCCAGCTGCACAGCATTTGTTTCATGCGGTGTCTTGGCAGGAAAAAGTCATTATCACAACACAAAGTCATACTCCGACCTCTCGCTTGTCACTGTCCGTACCTGGCTATGTTTAACGCGGTCCCACATAAAAATTGCGGCTCCATCTGTAAACGTTGAGTTCGGAGAACTTGTAAAGTCCCCCCCCCCCCTTACAATTAATGCAGGCCCCAGGGCTGTTGTATAGTAGTCTGGCAGGCAGGGACACACGGGTGAAAAGGAAATTGCATAATCTCTCTGCAATATCCTGTTGTGTTTCATGCCTAATTCGGAGTGTTGTTTTAGTTCATGACATTTTTTTATCTTGTCTGCATAAATATTAAAAATATATCCAGCGACCGGAGCCCTGACATAGTCACAGGCTTTGATAACTTAGTGGGTTATATCGAGACGGTCCTGCGGATTGAATGTCTCTGAGTCAGATAGCTCCACTCTGTACCCTGAAGTTCAGATAAAATTCATCTAAACCCTATATAATATAGAACTTGATGAGACACGTCATGCTGGACCATGTAGAACCGTAACTTGCATTTGGTTCTTTACTTGGTTCTCTCCAAGTCTCCTCAGATTAGCTGAATGGCAAAATTGTATGACATTTTTTGAAATCCTGTCCATTGAAAGTATTGCACAATGTTGGACTATATGAATGTTGAGAAGGCCTGTTAAGGATTTGCTTGTGCCTCCCTCAATTCTTTCAGTGACTTACCTGAGAAGTTGACTGAGTCAAGTTATCTTTTAGATACTTACCATATAACTCATTGTGGTTCAGTTTACTCTTTAACCTACAGTGCCTTCAGAAAGTATTCATACCCCTTTACTTTTTCCACATTTTGTTGTGTCACAGCCTGAATTTAAAATGGATTCAATTGAGATTTTTTGTCAATGGCCCACACACAATACCCCATAATGTCGAAGTGGAATTACGTTTTTTGACATTTTTACAAATTATTTAAAAATGAAAAGCTGAAATGTCTTGAGTCAATAAGTATTCAACCTGTTTGTTATGTCAAGCCTAATAAGTTCAGGAGTAAAACTTTCCTTAACAAGTCAAATAACAAGTTGCATGGACTCACTCTGTGTGCAATAATAGTGTTTAACATGATTTCTTAAATGACTACCTCATCTCTGTACCCCACAAATACACTTATCTGTAAGTTCCCTCATTCGAGCATGAATTTCAAACACAGATCCAACCACAAAGACCAGGGAGGTTTTCCAATGCCTCGCAAAGAAGGGCACCTATTGGTAGATGGGTAAAAATTAAAAAAGGTAGACATTAATTATCCCTTTGAGCATGGTGAATTTATTCATTACACTTTGGATGGTGTATCAATACACCCAGTCACTACAAAGATACAGGCATCCTTCCTAACTCAGTTGCCGGAGAGGAAGGAAACCGTTCAAGGATTTCACCATGAGGCCAATGGTGACTTTAAAACAGTTACAGAGTTTAATTGCTGTGATAGGAGAAAACTGAGGATGGATTAACAACATTGTAGTTACTCCACAATACTTACCTAATTGACAGAGTGAAAAGAAGGTAGCCTGTACAGAATACAAATATTCCAAAACCTGCATCCTGTTTGCAACAAGGCACTAAAGTAATACTGCAAGAAAATTGGCTAAGAAATTAACTTTTTGTCCTGAATACAAAGTGTTATGTTTGGGCAAATACAATACAACACATTATTGAATACCACGCTCCATATTTTCAAACATAGTGGTGGCTGCATCATGTTATGAGTATCCTTGTAATCGTTAAGGACTGTGAAGTTTTTCAGGATAAAAAAGAAACGGAATGGAGCTAAGCACAGGCAAAATCTACACTGGAGATGCTTACCAAGAAGACAGTGAATGTTCCTGAGTGGCCGAGTTACAGTTTTGACTTAAATCTGCTTGAAAATCTATGTCAAGACCTGAAAATGGTTGACTAGCAATGATCAACAACCAATTTGACAGAGCTTGAAGAATTTTGAAAAAATATTGGGCAAATGTTGCACAATCTAGGTGTGGAAAGCGCTTAGAGACTTACCCAGAACGACTCACAGCTGTAATCACTTCCAAAGGGGATTCTAACATGTATTGACTCAGGGGGTTGATTACTTATCTAATCAAGATATATTAGTGTTTTATTTTTACAATTTTTCTTCCACTTTGACA